TCCCCCGAGACCCAGAGAAATGATGGGTTATCAAATACCACTGGGATCACTGGTAGAACTGTTCTCTTGCCAAAAAGAGGGTGCAAGCTTTCATGGTGGGAAGAAAAGTCTGGAATAAAGAGAATTTGAGCTCCAGCATCACGAGGCATCAGATAATCAACCTGGTCCCTTCACTTTCTCACCCAGTGGGATCTTATTCCCAGGCTGGTTTTATGTCAGCACAGGGACACAAAGGCAGAATTTATGTCCACTAGTGTGCATTAACTCCTGTCCTAACCAGAGCTAATTACCGCTAATTATGTGGGACAGTGTTAATTCTTTTAGCAGCATTATCGCTGGCCTTACACTTCTGAAAGTGCCTTTGGGTGAGGCAGCTCACTTTGAAGAGATATTTATGTGGGGAATAAATATAGAGTAGCTAATACACTGTAAATTTACACCACTGGATAGCAGGCTTTAAAGGAGGTCTTTGGGCACAAAGACAGGCAAACCCTTGAGTAAGAACTACTCAATAGAAAAGGTGGCAGGATTGCCCTGTGTGATCTTGGGAAAGTAATTTTGATCTGGCATTTCTTTTCTGTAAAATCGGAAAAATAATACGTCCCTAACCCTCTCAAGGGCATAATATTTATTTTCTCTGCCTTGCCAATCATTTTCTTTGCTTTTAAAAAATATTCTCCAAACCCTAATTGTTTTTATGTGTTTGCAGTCTAAGCCATAAAAGACATAAACCCATCATATTTTTCTATACTGTATTTTCCCCATTGTGCTGTACTGTTAACACGAGCACTTTGCTGTGCAGAGGCTTGGCTATTTGCTGAAAGGATGAATTAAGATACCTCAAATGCTTCAGCATCTTGGCTGAGTGGCATTGCAGAGCTGGAAGGTATCATTAGGCCAAATGGCTCTTTTCTGCAGGAGTGAGAAACCCAGATATTTTTCAGAGGATTAAGGAAAACGAGTTCACATTCCTATGTGACCTTCATCCTGCAAATATAGGGCAGGAGGCCAGCTTTGAATCATAAAAGTCCCTTCACTGCCTTCAGCTTGGGTGTTTCTCTCCTGACTGGGATGTCAGCATTCATCTTGGGAAGTCAGGAGGCATCAGATGACCCAATCCACCCTGGCATCAGCATCTCTGCAGTTTTTAGCTTCCTATTTCTCCTCCCAGAATCTGCACAATCCCCATGAATACTCAGCAGCGTGGGCCTGGAGGATTGTGTTGATGTGGCCTCCAGCAAGGGCACTAAGTCAGGAGGAATTGCTGTCACCATCATTGTCCTGGGGCTGGTCCCACCAGTCCGTCAGATCCATGGAGAAACATCCCAAAAATCACAGCACGGCGCCCTGATGTCAGAGCTCAAAATGTCCCTCAGACATTTTTGGAGGTTCCAGGCCTTGGTCAGAAGCATTTGAGACCCTGGCAAGCAGCTGGAAACAGCTGTGATCTTGAGTTTGAACCATAGAATGAGTTACCAACTTTGAAGGTGGAACAAGTTGTCACAGAGGGTTAGATGGTATAGTAGAAGTAATTACAAATTAGAGGGGAAATTTTTTTAGTATTGTACAGGGGGGTTTTAACACATGTTAAAAAAACACGGGGGGGGGGGGGTTACTTTGTACAGGGGGTCAGGAGTTCTAAGATGGAGAAAAGTGGGCCTGATCCTGTTCTTCCTCTTTCTTCTTCCTTACCTCCATGTTCTTGGTGATGTTGGCACTCATGGATTGGTTTAGAGTGGAAAAGCACATTGTAACATAAGTAATAGGTATTGGGGAAAACCTGTAAACATATAACACGTAATATATCATATAAAAGACAGCAGCAGCCCTGGGTGGGGAGAGAAGAAGACAGCAGGCAGTGAGGGTGTCAGGAGAGTGTGTGTCTCTGCCTGGACCGCTGACCAAAGCAGCCACAGCAGGCGAAGACAATCTTTTAGATAACCAGCAATAAACTGCCTTGAGACCCAACAACAAGAGGCTGTGGAGTTTTTTTTTGGAAGCAAAGGTTGGAGGAGAGACTTTTCCACCACACAAGACCCCTGAACCAATCTCGGGGTTCTCACACCCTGCCAGGCAGCAGAGCTGCTGCTTCTCCACGTACCCGGCGTGCACATCAAGCCAGGCCACCTCTGCCTCTCAGGGTGTCCCATCCTCGGGAGGAGCCTTGCCCTTGGGTCCCTCCTGCAGTGTCACTGGCACTGGTGACATTCCCTCAGCCTCTCCCATCACTCGGCTGCTTTTCCCCATTGCTGAGCAGGCAGTGCCTGAGCCTGCTCCTGCAGCCTTGGGGCTCTCTGGGCTTTCAGGGATGATCTCCACATGCACAGCTCCTTAAGGAACCCCAGAGAGATGCTTCTCCCCTTCCAGAAGTAGTAGCCTAGGACACCCATTCCACTCACTGTTGGAATCTGTGGGTATTGATGATTCTGAGATTGTAGAAAGTCTCTGTCTTTCTGCCCCGCTGCCAAAGCAGAAGCCATAATTGGTCTGTGCTGTTTCAAGGTTGTTTATTCTGTTTATCTCTAACATGTTCTGCTGCCCTGCCGCAGCTCTGTCCTGCAGGGCAGCGTGTGGGGCTCTGCCCTCAGTGGGATGGTACAAACATTAAATACCAGAAACTACCTGTGCTGGATTTACAATAACGTGCCAATATCTGTCACCTACGTTGGACAGTGTGTCCCCAGCCTGAACCAACAGAAAAATGCCAACACCACAGTGAAACACGGAGGGCATGAAGAAGGAGAAAAAGGACAAGGCACACCCAATTTCCTCCATCTTGTCCCCTTTGAACCCCTAATCTAGAATCCAAAAATTTTACTTTTGCACCCGTGCCACACTTAATTATTACTTATATCAAACACTCAGAGATTGTAATTCATCCTGTAAGATTGAAAACTCTTCTCCATGGACAGAGATCACAGACAGTGTCTCTGGGGGCTCTGTCCAGGGGGATTCCTGACCCCTGCCAGGGTCCCAGGCCCTCCAGGGCAGCCAGAGGGAAGCCCTGGATTCCCACAACTCACCACACTGGAAATAAATATTCCAGCCCTTTTTGCTGCTCATGCAGCAATGCCCTTGTCAGGCTTGGAGGTCTCTAAAATTAAGCATGGTGCATCTTCCCCAGGCTATTTTCTCCAGGACCCATGTACTTTATTTGGGCTTGGTTTCATCCTTTCCCTGACCATTTGGCTACTTCAAATCATTTTTCTGAGTGTTTTTCTCAACATTATGTCCAGTAAACTGGAATCAGACGTACCACAAATGGCTTTTTAAATAAGTTATCTTTATATCTGCAGATGGATGCCAAGGTTCTTGACCCTGAATAAAGCAATTTTCCATCTGCTTTTATGGTTTTTAGGTGAAAGAACAGGAGTCTTGTTTGTCCAAATACAGCAATACAGAAATATGCATCAGTGCTGGGCCTGGACCTTGGGCTGTTTCCTCCTCTGCCTTCCCCACCTCCTTTTACAAATAAGAGGCAACATTTGGCCTTTGCAATCAAAATGAACTTTTGCACTCACTTCTCTCTCAATCCCTAAATTTTAGACTCAGTTAAAAAAGAAAAAAAAAAAAAAAAGGGAGGGAGACTGCCCTTGCAGCAAGTTATTTTCCTTTTCCACTTTTCCCTGTTTGCACACAATGCTTTCTCACAGAATCAACACCCAAAAAGGTTCAGGCGAGGGGAACAGAACAACTTATCCTCTCATTTCCCCCACTTTAAACTCACAAATGTAGTGACTTATGACTTCTGGAGCTGGAAGCAGTGGGACTGACCTCAGTCCTTCCCTCCTCCCTGCTAGGGAGAGACAAGCAGCTTCCGAGAGGCTTGTTGGTTTGTGTTCATCAAGAGCAGCTGTCACACAGCTCTCACTGAAGCTCCCCATCCTTTCAAAACCATCACAGCTTTCTGCTTCACGTAGAAATATGCAGCAGCTCTGCTTGCACAAAACCTGCATGAATAAAAATTTAATCTAAGGCTATCGCCGCTGTAACAGCAATAATTTCTCTTAAAGGCTCAATACAAAGAATACTAAATACTGTCTATAAATAAGATTGTATTTAATAGGGGAGAGAAGCAATTTAATAAGCTTGCTAGTAAAATCTTCTCTGCCACTTTCAACCCCAATATAGTTCTTTTTTCCTGAGCAAAACTGGCTTGTCACAAGGAAAGCTTGGGCCCCAGTAAACTGTGATTTTTTAAGGTGAAGTCATTCAATTCAAGCTTTCCTTTCCAAAAGGAAGAGGAAAAATATCCACTTAAAGGAAATATTAGTTAATCAGAGGACATCCCTTTCATAATAGAAGCTTCTAGGGGATTTAAAAGCACATTCTAATTATAATAGTTCCCTAATTATCTGCCTAACATCTCATTTTTCTGTCTAATCCCACTTTTAATTATAGTGTACCTTTCTTTGCCCATCACACAACTGAAGTACTCTATTTTACTGAAAATAAATCCTTTTAACTGGCGATGTCAGAGAAGAAATATTGTCACTGCACCCAGGAACGTGCATGCTGTCTGGGAGGGAAATGCCTTGCCAGTGGATTTGGATAAAGTGTCTGGATGCGCCCTTTAGAAAAACTCTCATTTAAAGCTTTCCTGGTGTTCTCAAAGAGAAGAAAACACTCTAAATAACACCGTGCTCTGCAGCTGTGTCTGGCTGCAAAAGTTTTCACGTATTTTAGCTTTTTTTTCCCCAAACTCTTGCATCTTGGCCTCCCTACCACTGATATTCCACGGGATCCCCGCCACCAGCTGATGGAGGAATAGGATTTGGCCTTTGAACCAAGCCAGCATGCAATTTGCTGAAAGGAAGCAATATTTGAGCTGTGTTATCTATGAGCATCTGGTCATCAAGATCTCTCTCAGCGATTAGCGAGCAAAGAGGAAACCCTGTGGAGGGGGGAGAGGAAATCCCGCACGCAGGGTTCCCGTTTCCAGCCCTGCCATGAGTTTCCTGCCCTTTCCTCCAGCAAATCTCAGCTCTCCACTTCTCTGAGAATTAAAAAAAAAAAAAAAAAAAAAAAAATTACCCTTCAGGGAAGTTGTCAGGCTTAATGGATGTTTATAAATCACTCGAACAAAAGGTGCTATGTCAGTGAAAAGTGCTCATCCCGATGATTATTCAAATGCTCATTAAAATGCGTTTTGCTCTATCCTTTCCCTTGGTTTGTGTGGGAGGCAATTGAAAGATTTAGTCTTTGTGGGAAAGAGGGAGAGCTCGAGCACTTTCCTTTGGGTGTGGGAGCGGCAGGTTTGGGGAGTTAAGGACCTTTGGCATGCAGGTAGGGTTTCATCCAAGACCTTTAGGCTCCCATCCAGGCTGCAAGCTCTGACAGACCCAGGACTGGCAAGTTCCCTCCAGGAAGACAAGCCAGCGATTAATGGTACCAACCCCTGCTCAAATTTGCATGTATCATTTCCTTTAGCTCTGCTCCTGATGGAATTAGGGATCATCCTTTAGTGAAAATTATTCTTAATGTGTATTTAAGCATTAAAAATGAATATGCGTGTGTGATAAAACTTAGGGAATAATTTATAAACAGCTAACGCAACGTGAGATTATGGAAGAGCTGGCTGCCCTGCAAACCTGTGCAAATGCATGTATAATGCCAGGATGCTTCTTCCCTCATGGATGTTTCATTATGTCTTGCTGACCCCTTCATGGCAGCTTGGTCTGCTGGGGGCTGCTGGCTATTCCAGGTTTTAAAAGCTGAAGAAGCCACACTATATCTCCTCAGTGCATCAGACACTAAGCTGGAAACCTAGACATGGTATTTTTCACCCTCTTCAGTCCCATGAAGCTGCATGTGCAACTGCACCCCCTCCAAGAGCATCCATGATGAATGGGAACTTCTTCTTCTGCTAATTGAAATAGAAGAATTTCTGTATTAGCTCTGAAAATGAAAAATATGGATTCTCTGGGGAGGAGTTTCTATCCAAAATGCAAAGAATTTTATGCTTCTTGGGCAAAATGCAGCTGCAAGTAATAGTTGATGCTGTTTTTAATCAAAGTGCACTAACTTGCTCTTATCATCCTGTTTAGAGGATGGGAGGTGCTTTTGCAGGGCACGACGAGTGCTCCCATGTGCAGCTCTCTCCACTCGCCCTTGCAGCTCTCACATAAAGCATCAGTAGTGACCCCTCCACTGCCATCTTGACTTCTTCTTTTTTCCCCTCCCTTGGGGGTTACTTTTTCAGTCTTGTCCCTCCTTTATGCCAGGCAAACCCTCGTTGCCACTGCAGGCAGCTGCTGGGATGAACTCAGCCTCCTCTGGTGTGTTGCACAACCACGTGAGCTGGCAATTCTTGCACCTCCTCTGCAGAGGCTGGAGCAGCCCGGGCAAAGTGAACCAGGGGTGAGTCAGGCTCCATGAATTTCTCTCCTCTCTGCAAGCCCAGTCTGATCCTGACCATATCACAGCCTTTTCTCTCTACCATCAGCAAGCAAGAACCAAACTCGGTATCACCTTGTGCTGTACAGTCAGCCAACAAACTGCCAAGTTTCAAGTCTTTCCTTTATTAATTTTTTTTTTTAATTTTGCATTCAGTGCCTTTTTACCCCTCTGGTCCTTTAGTGCTTCCCTTGTGCTGCTCATGTACTGTTCAATCTTTGTTCTTGCAGGTTTTGAAGTGCCTTCAAGGCTTGGCCCCCTCTCATCCAGGACTTGGATGTGATGCACACCAAGGAACTGGAATAGGGGGCAGACTGTGTCCACTGGAGCTTTCCTGCCCTGCTCTTCTTCTTTCTCATTTGTCTTCATCCACAGCCCAATGTGGTGTGCTCTGACTCTGCCACGTCCCAGAAGATGGAAGGAGATGCTTTGCTCAAGTGTTGCCTGGCTCATTCTTCTTTAATAAAGAGATTGTTTCGTTTCATTTTTCATCACTTTATTTCTCAGCTAATTCAAATAGCATACCAGTGGTAAGACAGGCTGCTCTTTCAGGAAATCTAACTGTTTTGGTCAATTATACTGGCAAGTGAACTTTTTCAGCGTGGTAAACCATCCTGTGCCAAGGGCTGATGCTCCATGGCACTGGTGAGTCTCAGGAAAGTGGCACCATGACCTGTTGAGATTGGTGGACTGACAATAAGAGTATGTGAGGACAAATGTAGTCCCACCAGCATTCCCAGGACAGACTGAGGTTGCTTAGGAAAGGCCTAAAGCCCCTGCATCCCCTCAGAAATCTGCTCCTGGTGTGGCACTCCAGCTAAATCTTGCACATGCCAATGCACACCTTCTTCCTTGCCAAGTAATTAAAATGCAGGGGGAAAATGATGGAGTAGCAGGAAGGTGGGGATACTAAGCACTTCAAGCAGTGGACAGGAATTTGTTTTCCTACCCCTTTCAGAGATATGCACTAGAAATTTAATGGTCACTTAGAGTAGAACTTCCCTGTAGATTCTCAGCACTGGCCTATATTTTAATTAATGTGCTTGATTTGGCACACAATACTTTACTAACCCAGCTGCGCTTTACATCCCATATCTAAGGTCTGAAAGCAGACCCATATCTAAGGTCTGCTCAGCTTTTTGGGAGCCTCAGCTCTGCAAGAGGAGCTGTAAGACCTTCTAAGCTTTTCTATCACTCTCCACGACCTTTAGGTCTGACAGCTTTAAATGAAAGAAGCTGGTTTTGCATAAAAAGGTGCTAATAAAATTAGGCTTGTTGGCACACAATATGAAGGGTGTCTTCAACTCTGCAAGGAGGCATGCAGATGATATTACTGACAGCTAGACATGAGTAACAACAGATCTTCCTCATAATGTTACCTTGCTGTGGCCAATAAGATTGTGATAAACTCTGATGCAGGCTTATCCACTACTTAATTATCTAGAAATCAGCCCCCAGTGTAATGTTATTTTTGTATAGAAGCTTCTGTCCCCCAGCAACAAGACCCAACAGCATGAGTCCCTGCACTGCCACTTTGTTTGGAGCAAAGCTTGGATGATCACAGAGGACAGCTGAGCCATTGCCAAAGTGTAGGTGCAAAAGAGATTTACACAGACCAGAAGCTTCTGCCAAAAGCTTGAAGAGATGTCTGGTGTGGATGCAGAGGGAGATACAGCAGAGCCCACAAAGACAGATGCTACAAAATCATCAAGGGCATGAGCTGAAAGTGCAAATTGCAGGGTTTTTTTATGCTGAAACTTCCCTTTCAGCCCTACAGCTTTCATTGCAAAACAGCAGTAGAGTAGGTAGCCTTTGGTCCTGCTCAAGGACTGCTTCTTTTCTCCTGCATCCTCTTGATCCTCCTCTGCCAAGTCTCTTGAGGCAGTCTGAGGTCATTTCCCCATCTGAAAAATTAATGCTGGAGACCAAGCCTTCAATTTGTTCCAGGACTTGAGGAGTGAGATGGAATTCTTTCTTGACGTAAAGATATTTAAACAGAAACTCTGCTGGCAGAAATGTATGGGTTTCCTGGCCCTATCTGCATTCAGCTACATTTTGTTACACAGGATGATGCAATCCTTGTCTATCCCAACAAAAGCACAAAGTAAGAAATTCCCTCTTTTTTTTTGATGGTTGGGGATGCTTTTCTCAGAGATCACAACTTATTCTATGTGTTTGTTGTTATTACTACTTATATTCTCTTAGAAATAAAATCCAAAGAATCTTAATAAGGAGAAATAAATACCATTATTTCTGCTCTTTAATGAAAAAGTATCATTAAATCCCTCTTATTGTCAGTACTATTAGGGTTGCAGCTTGGAAGGTCTATTTTCTTGCAAAAATTGGGGTGAGATATTCTTTCAACAAATACCCAAAACTAATAATCTCTAGAATCATCTGGAAGTTTCACAGCAGACTCACCCTCATTAATTTTTCCATTACAATCAAAGGTTTACCAAATATCATGAGAACTCACATCAAACCCAATGGCTGTTGATTGCTCCACTTTCCCTACTAAGTCCCAAGTTTGTACCCACGAATTTTGTCCATGGCTAGAATTTACAGATGGCTTAGTTGCCTGAGGGCAGGGAGTAACACTTCCACACACAGTCATTTCTGCTTTGTTAAATTATTTGGCAGCTACGCTTCACATTAACAGATGCTTTTGCAAATACCCAAAAGTTGGTAGCACTTCCAAGATGGTATCCAAAACTAATCCTGCAGTAGAAGACAATTGTATGATTGTGAAAATACTTCACATTTTTTCAGAAAACACTGTCTTGACCCCTGCTCAGTGTAAATCACTAGAGGAATTTATCCTAAGCACCCCCAGATCTCATAACAAATCCCTGCTGCTTTTACAGGATCAGGCTCTTCCTTTCTGGATGGACAAAGTTTGTATTGCAGGAGTGTGTGCAACATTGTTTTCCACCACCACAGAAATTCTCCTCACTTTGCTAGATTGGCACTGTTTCTTACAATCAAATGAAATTAGACCCTCTCTTAAGACTGAACTTCTAGGGGGAATTTCATTCTGAAAAAGAACTGGAGGGAAAAAACCCTGTATCTCACTGCCTAGTGTGACAGACAGACAGGATTTTCCTTGATGGTCTTTTTCCAAGGAAGGGTTGGAGCACTAAGAGAGGCTCCAGATGCAGCTCAGCAAAGCCCAGTCCCCAAAATACTTATTTTCACAAAACAAACCCCAACTAACCAAACCTTCCAGGAAAAAAAACTTACTAAACCTTATTGCTGCAGAGAGGCACCTGTAGAAATATTAGAATAATCTACAACTAATCTGTTAATCACTGCTGTTAATAATGAATTTGTCCTTCTGTGGCTCTTTTCACCCACAGACATATCAAAGGACTAAAGGACACAGAGATCAGCTAAGCATCACTGTGTCTCCTCTACACAGAGCAGTTTGAGAGATCTGGAACTTGGCACCCGGGATAAAGCAGTAACTTGCCGGAGATATTAAACTCTGGAATCAGTGCCAGAAGCAGAAGCCAAACAAAGCCTGCACTGGAATCAATTTTCAGGCTTTTTTGGGATGGTTCTGTTTCACTTATTTTTTAAAACAAATATGGATTTGAGGAGCTGTGTTCATTATGGTGGTTTACTCACCAGAGGCAAAGCTCTGTCCATGGGTAATTATATTTGGGTGTCCCTTCGGAGCCTCTGCTGTGTGGCAGATTTCATCCATGGAGCGCTCAAATACAAACACTGGAACAAGATCTTTTTCTGAGATTCTGTTTATTTTTGGAGAAATGCTCCTGATTGAGATGGAAAATGCTCTCCCATCACCCCTAAGGCCAAGAGTCCCTTCTTTTTCATGCTGGCCCCCATTATATACCGGCCCCCCACCCCCAATAAATCAGTTAACACACCTATTTTTCATAAGACATCCAGCTGCCTTACAAAAAGCCAATGAATTATTCTTGGTTTTAGTGCAACCGCTGAAAATATTTCAAAGCGAAAAGGAATTGACCCAACCTACTGTGCACATTATTTATTCAGAGGTAGTACAAAAACGAGTCCCTGATGTTACTAAAACAAATCCTAATAAGTACAGAGAGCATCAATTACAGGCTTCCCTTTATAGTCCTATATATCTCTTTCCCTTTCTGGAGATAGTATCACATGTGAGGGGGCACTGCGTTGGCTTTCAAATCTATTGAACTTTCATAATTATAACCTCCATTTTAACCTCTTTTATAGGACACACTATACCATTTCACCTTATGTTCCTTGAATCCCAACCAGCCCTAGGAGAAAGTGGCTTTAAAGCTCAATTCTGTAAGATGTGCATAAAATGGGAAATATTAAGCATTCACAACCTTATGCATACATTACATCAGGGTGCCAAGCACAAGGAAGAGCAAAGCAAAATAGGTCTTGTGAGCTTCACTTGGACTTTTGCTCTTAGCTCAGTAAATATTCAGCATGCACATAGCTTGACATAATGGAACCAGGGAAATATTAACTGCAGTGAAATAGCTGGATTTTTTTTTTTTTTTTTTGTCCAGTCTGTATGGAATGTCCTTCTATTTAATCAAAAAGCTTGGAATGATTCCTAATCTATCATAAAAATTTTTAAGGACATGATTAATTCCATTGTTTAAATGCTGTTTTATTGCCATAAGAAACTCTCATAAATGATCCCACACCTTTCCCTGTGATCATTTCCTTTTAAAGTAATATACTAATTAATTTCAATTAAATATATGTAAAAGAAGATATATTTTGAAAAATGCTTCTTCCTTGTCGTTTGCTAATATAGTGAAAAAGTGTAAACCTTGGAACATTTAGCATAGAAAATATTAATTTTTGGTAATTTCTCAAGGGGACAATTTATTAAATGAAAGGCTTTTAACATTAGCTAAAAGCAGCCCTGTAAATCATGGGTGTCATCAAACTGCTTCATCACTTCATTAATTTAAAAGATTATTATATGCGTAACTGACATAATTTTGAACAATGTTACATGGTTAATTTATTAATGTAGAAAAGCAGAAATGACATGCTGAATTGATTTATTATTATAATTGTATAATTTTAGGACTTTTCTCTGTGACTTTCACCAACAGAACAAATGATTCTGGGTGAAATCGTGCCATTATTTCATTTTTTTGTTCTTTATTTTTTGGGGCAGGGCTACTCACTGATGTCTGCAAGGACTTAAGAAGAGGAGGTCCAGCATGGCTGCTTGGTGTTTAAGTAGAAGCTGTTGAAAGACCTCCTTTACAACCATGTCATCCTGTGGTTCTTAATAAATTTAAAGTGCTTTTTACCCCTTTCAGTAGTCAAAAAAATATTTAAAAGTCAGTGCAGTTAGGTTAAAAACCTGATTCTGAGTAACCTTCCTTAAAAGTGTGCATTCCTAAATTTTTCACATGCACAAAAATATGATTTTGGGTGGTGGAGTTTGCCCAGCTCCACTGCAGGCCCCAGAGGCTTGCACAGCCCAGCCCCACAGGATTTTTGCTCCTAATTATATTGGTGAGCAGTTAGTGCTGGCTTCGTGCCCAAGATGAAAATATAATGCAACAACATTTCTGCACGGAAAGCACAGTTCAACTTGTCTTCAAAACCAGTATACCACGCTCAGGGTTTATTTTTAGATTGAAATGATGTGTGACTCTGCAAAGCTGAGGGAACATTCCTTGTTCCAGCCCAAAGGTGCATGTGCAAGGGACAGGAGGCACCACTGAAACTGCCTCTCCTCAAAAATCAGAAATTAGGCTAAATCAGGACCTGATTAAACGTGTCCCAGATCACCACTTGAGCACACCCTTCGTGTGTTCCTTCATGAATGTTGCTAACTTGCATCCCTTTAGTAGAGCTTAAAAAAGCAATCCTGCCTGGCATCCCAGAGCTCTGTGTCCCAGTGCTGCAGGCCAAATTGTCACCAAACCCATCACCCAAAATTATGAGTTTTGCCTGTGTTTTGGTTGAAATCCCCAGCCCTGCACTCAGGCTAGAGTTGTGTCTGAAGCCAAATCGTGTGGGTGCCCAGGTGACTGGGAAACACTCTCACAGTGTGTTTACACCCTAAAAAACCTTGTGTCACCTTCAGTAACACAAGCCTTGGTACAGAAAATCCTGTAAAGGCTCACTACAGGTACCTCCTGTTTGGAGCAACATTTATGTTGCATGGAGAGACACTGGCAGACTGGAGAAACTGCCAAAAATGGGGGCTGGGTGTGGGAAATTGGGGATGGGAGTGGGGAAATAGAGGCTGGGAGTGGGAAATGGGGGATGGGAGTGAGGAAATGGGGGCTGGTAGTGGGGAAATGAGGGTTGGTAATGGGAAATGGGGGCTGGGAGTGGAGAAATGGGGGCTGGGAGTGGGGAAATGGGAGCTGGGAGTGGGAAATGGGAGATGGGAGTGGGGAAATGGGGATGGGAGTGGGGAAATGAGGGTTGGGAATGGGGAATGGGGGATGGGAGTGGAGAAATGAGGGATGGAAGTGGGGAAATGGGGGCTGGGAGTGGGGAAATGAGGGCTGGGAATAGGGAATGGGGGCTGGGAGTGGGGAAATGAGGGTTGGGAATGGGGAATGTTGTCTGGGAGTGGGAAATGGGGGATAGGAGTGGGAAATGGGGGCTGGCAGTGGGAAATGGGGGCTGGTAGTGGGGAAATGTAGGCTGCATGCTGAGTGATGCTCATGTGGGGTGTAAAAGCCTAGACATGTCCCCAGACTCCTCTCTTTTGTCCATTTTGAGTTATCTTTAGATGACTGGACACCCAAGTCTGGCCTCTAGGAGGGATATCTGAGGTGCCAATATTAAGGACAGCAAAAAGCAGAGAATTTCACAGTGAATAAATTTAAAATGCAAGTTAAAAACCGGACCATTTCAGAGCAGCGGTTAAGGTCCTCCATCATCAAATGGTGTCACAAGAGCATTCTGGGCAATTACTGACAATTTTTAAGAGAGTATTTTTCTTTCCCTGTAATCTTACATAATGCCTTTCATATGTAATACCTTGAGCACATGCAGTATGCAAAACACTCCACCAACTGTACACAGACAGAAATCATTTCACCATTAAGCACAGCCATGGCCAGGGTTGCAGAATGGTGACCAGATGCTCTGAGCACAGCACAGGCTGCAAGACTAAAGAGCTGGGGAAAAAATTCTAGCTGGGGCAAGCCCAGGCTCTTATGAAAAGCACCATGTGGTTTTTAATGTGCACGGAGTGAAGACAGGACCTCTGATTTTAAGATACTACCCCCCAAGATGTAAATTATCTAGAAAGGCATCCTTCATGCCATGAGGTTTCAGCCCATCATTCACGTATATTATTTCAGTGCTCACAAGTTATATAGGGCATATTATAAATCTCCAATTATCTCTGGCATGTGCACAGTTCACTTTTATTTTTGATGATGTTAATTTTTAATTTTTTTTTTTTTTTGCCTAAGAGTGTCACTAAGGACATGGGGAAACAATTTAGGAGATTAAAAAAAAAAAAAAAAAAAAAAAAAAAGAAGAAGAAAGATTTGAGCCAAATGCTTTCTTACAGGAAACATTTATTTGCACTTGAGTGTCTCATCTAACAAAGTTCCCCCATATTTTCCCACAGCAGACAGGAACTTGTCTGCATTAGCATTTTAAGAAATGAATCCTAAAGACCAGCAAGTGTCAATATGCTGTCACAAGTGGGATTGATGGCTCTTAACAGAGCTCTTCTCACACGAGTGCAAATGGCTGTCTTTCAGTTCATCACAGACATTTTGGTCAACACAAACTTTTCATATGTTCACATGGCCTTTAAAATCCTTACAAAAGCAAAGCAGAGGGGCTGGTCCTGTCCTACCACAATTAGTGGCAAAATTTCTCTTTGCCCGATGGAGAGAAAATGAGAGCCTAATTACGAGCAAATGGAATATTGTAATTTTCTGCAACCTGATCTTACAGATCACATCGCAAATAGAGAGATTAAAAGGTGAGCTAGAGGGAATTTATAGAGAACAACAAATTAAAAAAAAATAATTCAGACACTCTATGTGATCTTGACTGGCAGTGTGCTGGGCAAAAAGGACTGGGTTTGAGCTGAATATTTAGTGCTGCAAACATCTGCTAGCCTTATTACAAAATTGCATTTTGCTTGTCATAATTAACAACCACATGATGCTGTTCTACATGTGATATTCACAAAATCAGAAAAGGATGGGATAGTGGAAGCGCTCAATTAATGTAATTTCTGGATGTTATATAGAACTAGTGTGTGACTCTCTTAGCTTCTCCCTTCTCTCCTGACACAGAGGGATCCCCCTTTGTCCTGTTGGGTCTTTTTTAAGAAAGATATTTTAACCAAAGTGATGCTGAGTTACAGATTTTCTTCTAGTGCAGATTGCCACTGGTAATGTCACCAGCCTGAACATGAGTAGTGCCCTCATGATGACTGAAGGAAATCTGAAATTTTCTCCCACTCTTAAGCTTAAGACAAATCCAGACACACAAAGATGAGAACAACAGAGTTCAACTAACAGTGTAGAGCTGCAAGGTTCAGTGCAACACTGGCTATCCATGGAACAGAAGTCTCCTGGATTACAGTCACAAGCAGTAACTAAATTCAGATAATCAACCATCAATAAACCTCCCAACAAGAACATGTCCGAGGTCAACAACAGCGTTCAGGGGTACTGTAACCTGCCAGAAGTGGGGAACAACAGAAAGGTAAAGAAGAAAATTAATATTTTGGTTTCAAATACGCTCCTGTCAGGACAGGGTAAACTCAGGAATGCCACACATCTTTGGTGAAAAACAAAGTGACAACAAAGACCCATCAATATTGTCTCTCAACACTCCCCTCCTGCAACCACGCTTAGTAAATCAACCTTCTCAGACCAAAAATACTACAACCAAAGAAACTTCTGACAGCTATTTGGTTTTGGATGCCCTTTCTCCCAGGACATCAGCACCTCCCCAGCTAAACCAGCCACGAAAAAGAGAAGTTCACAAGACATCAGTGCATTAGTTTTTCAGTGTAAGTCTGGGTGTGATAGACATTCACCACTTCCCTGCTGCTGGATTCTCCAGGTGCCATTTCCACCAGCACTGGAGACCTTTTGGCATCAGATCCAACTTTTCCTCTCCAGCAGAGCAGCCCGTGCTCAGCCCCTCCAGCCCTGGGGAAGGACTGGGGCTTCAGTCCATGCAGAGGGCTGGCAATAAAAGGTGTTTGCAAATACACGAATGATGCATGGACTTCCATTGATTCAGCTCCCAAACAAGGCATCTAAGCTGTGGAGAGAGCAGTTGTCAGATTTGGCTTGGCTTGGACTCAGTCACTGATGTCACACCTCATGCTACCAGCTGTTTCCCTGCTTTCCTTAGTGGCAAGGTATTCACATCCTTTCCTCTTCATATTGATTCTTTGCTTTCACTACTCACTTTCTTCCTTTCTCTTTCCTTCTGCTTCCCTCTTTCCCCTTTTCCCAGTTTCTCTTTTTTTCTCCTCTCATACTCTTTCCTCTTCCACCATGACCACTTTATTTTTCCTGAGTCAAAAAGCTAATGCAAAAATCTGACAGAAAAACCAAACAAGTGAGTTATTTATATTGATCTTAAAAAGACAACACCTCTGGATAGAGAAGTCACATCCCTAAATTCCAAAATTTACCAAGTGGGAGATAATTTGGGGAAAGTATCCCCATATGACGCTCTTGCTCTTACATTCCTTCCAGATGTTGTGGGTCCCTGTAGCAGATGAGACACCGGGTAAGATTTTTAGTTTTGAACCCGTATGGCTTTTCTTATGTTCTTTTTTGAACTTAGGAATCAGATATTAGCCTCTTTATAGTGGGAAAGTTCTCTGTAGTGAACCATATGAAATTGAGATGAGTGTTGTCCCTGAGGAATCATCCACACCATCTGTTGGAGACAGGATTATGTTTCCTTAAACCCAACCTTTACAGATGTGTCTCCTACAGTGGTGATTCCACATAGTTACTGAATATTCTGCTCCAGTGCTTAACTGTTTTGAGTATGAGGAAGTTCTGTAATATCTCATCTAAATCTCCTTTACTGCATATTAAACTGATCTTTTTTAATCCTTCCCTTAAAAGATACAGACTAAAATCTCATTGCCCTCTCCTTTCAACTCACCTTGCAGAGAGCAGAAGAGAGAGCAGAAGACTGTCACCACTCTCTTGCTAGCTTAAAAGAATCACATACTATCAACTTTTCTGGTAATTTCATCCCGATATTATCGAAAACTTAAATCTTCTTCTCTCCAGAGCAAGCTGTGCTCTTTCTGCCTCTGCAAGAGGCAATAGGGCAGGCTCTGAATTGTCTGAGAGAAAATGGCAGAGTCCATAAAGCAGGCAGATGCCCAGAGGAGATTTATGGCTGAGGCACTCAAGAGCTGTGTTGTCTGAGTGTTTCTCTTGGAAAGATCTGCTCTCAGGGGCACAGCCAGCCCTTACCCTGCCCCACTGGCAGGTTTGGATGGGTAATTAGCCTTTTTCAGGAGGAGTCCTGCAGACTACTAGAGGCAGAAGGGAAAACAAACATAAAATAAAATCCAGGCAAGAGGGTAATATTTCCATCATCAAAGCTGACACACTGCACTGCGAATCCTTTGAGCAGCAGAAACCTGATGTGCAAACCCCGCTGAAAGAGAAATCTTTGTGTGAGCCTTTCTTGTAGGATAATTTTAGACTTTGGCACTTCTTTTCACAAGGACAATTTTAAATCTGGAATTTTTAACAGGCATCCAAGGCCATTAGGTCATGGAACATGACTTCTTCTGAAACGGAGGCCAATGAATTTCACCTTCATACCTCTACAAACGTATTTGCAGGGAGAAATTTGTTCACAAGTGGAAGTCTCTATAAGAAAAACTATATGCTTGGGAGGACAGACCAGACAGCAGGCAACCCAACTCCTTGAACTGCTGGGATCTGACAGCAAAAGAAGTGCCCAGAAAACTGTGTTCTTCCCACCTTATCTCACTGTTATCCTCCTGGATAAAGCCACCAGTACTCACTTCTCCAAGCTAGACATAGGCAGACCCCTCTGGGACCTTCCAACAAAAATAAACTCCTCAGACCTGGTACCTAGTGTTGCTGGATGGACACTGGATCATATTTCCTGGTTTTGCATGGAGGTGGGGAGGATTTTGTTACAAAAGAAAGTTGACAAGAACAAGGGAGAAAGATTGTAATAAAGCTGACACATCCCTTTGCTAAATTTATTTAAAATCTCTGCTTCTCCCTTCTCCTAAAGAAGGACTGAAAATGCTTGGTTTTACTTTTCTCATGAAAACTCACACTGAGATATTTACTCTGGGAGAAGACAGGATGACAGAAATAAACAGGAGACCCTGAATGTATTTTGGGTGCTCCAGCATATTTGGAATTGAATAGTTTTCTCTCTTCTTTACAATTAGACTAAACTTCCTGTGCCTTTTCTGTTCAGCCTCCCAAGCAAACCACAATGGAATCACCAGAGTTCTAGTGCTGCTGCTTAGGAAGGAGATGTCAATTGAAGAGCTGGTTTTCTTTTATTAACTCCCCTTTTTAAAGGGCATTTCTTTTCCAAGGCTTTGGAAGTGCTAGTGAGGCAAGGGACAGTGCCACCAGGGAGGCAGAGTGTCTGAGCATGCAAATGGGGGAAAGCTGCATATCCTTTCTATGCATTTCTGTACCTTCCCACCTCCCTCCACAGTTTCCTTGTTGCTGGTGAGAGGAATCTCTCCCAGCTCTCCTCCTCCACCACTCTGTTTCCCATCTCCCTTTCCTTTCTCTGAAAGTCTCTTTGGCAATGATCAGCTTTGTGGCTCCTTTCTGAGAGGCTTTGGCTTTGACCATGGGCAACCCTGCCTGGGAAGCTAAAGGGGAGCTGGGGGTGGAGAGGGAAAGAGGGGCTGATCCACACAGCTGTGCAGTCCATCCAGAAGATACTGGGTTGGTAACTCATCCCTGAAGTCTTTCAGTGAAAATCACTACAGAGCATCAAAGTGTAAACTCCTGCCAAGCATCAAAGAAATTTATTGGCCAGAGCAACACACATGAGAATTTTTATGCTTGAATAGTGATGCTTCTGAAGGGCTAAATAAATGTTCAAGTATAATCACAGTTCATGCATGTGTTGATGGAAAAGAAGATATCACAGAATTCAAAACAAACCAGCAGAACAATAAAACCAACAAAACCCTCAGTTCTGCCTCCCTCCCCCACAAGGCTAAAATCTCTTCAAATCAAGAGAGACCGCATGGGCAGACAACTATGGGAGGCTTTACATTGATGTTTTCTTTCTTTGAAAAGCCTTTAAATGCTTTTCTCATGTTTTTACAAAAGCTTTTACATTTTCCAGGGGTTCTCTTTCTGTCTGAATGCCACCACTAGCAAAGGAAAGGAAATTCTTCATGTCCTTTTGTTGGAATTACGTCAAGGGCTTCATGAGAAAATTCCACGTGCACGGAGCCCTGCATGAGCTCCTATAGATGGCAGGGAGGGAAAATCAATCCCAGCCGAGGAAACCAACAGATGTTTCATTCATGGCTGTATCAACAAAGTGATATTAATCAATAAGGAGAGCCATTCTTTACCCCCCACAGCCCATTGCCTGGCTCAGCTGGGCACAGTCCAAGGGGATTCGTCAACTCGTGCAAGTGGGCATGAAACTGGTCCCAAAGTGGCAGCCATGCAAGCCAGGCATGCTTCCCACCAGCCTGTGCTCATGAAAGGCATCAGCCCTAACCTAGACATCCACAACTAGTTAGACTGGTGATTATTACATTTAGCATCACAGCTGGTTCAAGGAGAGCTTACCATTAACCAGTACTCAGTGCTTTGATGTCCATCCCCAACATGCTTTTTTAATGATTATGGAGTTATTCGGGGCCATGGCCTGCAGAAGACACTCCCCAGAAGTTGCATGGGTTCATCCAAAACTCCTCTTACATCTGAGCTGCAGTTGGTGAAAGCAGAGAGAGATGAGTGGAAAAAAAAAAAAAAAAAAAAAAAAGTCAGTAGTTGGGAAATGGAAGGAAGGGAAGGATTAAATGAAAAGCTCTGCCAGGATGCAGCCATGGGGAGCTAATTCAGTATTAGCAGATCAACTTGAGTGAGGACTAAGTTTAAAGGGTCAAAGACTAGCAGACAGCTGGCACTCAGCTGGTGATGCTGCTGTGGGGTGTGCGGCTCCAGCGCTGGTCATAAACAACACCAGGATATGTTCTGGATTTTTTTATTGTTATTATTATTGTTTTTGAAGTGACTCGTACAGGAAATTTTCCCTCATCACACGTGAAAGCTGTTCCAATTCCCTGAAGTAGGAGACTTGGCAAGTCAATTACAGGGAAAGTAGAATTGCTGAAGCATATGAACGGATTTTAACAACATGCAAGTGTAACTTTTATTGCCAACAGTAGATGCACATTGGAATTTTAGGGGGGGAAGAAACCGTGATGAAATGGCAAAATGCAGTTGTTTTTCTTTATCTCCAGAGAATGCTGTGGTTTCATTTGCAAATGAATCATTTTGTTGTGATTTATTCACTTTGTAAATGGATCTGATTTATTGTCCCTGGGGATTTAAGAGATTTTTTTTAGTAAAGCAAGTTATCAAGCTGGCTTACAACCAGAGGCAACATAATTGCACCAAAATGTTTGAAGAAGATCAAGCAAAGGTGTCACCTGCCAGAACATTTTGGCAATGAAACAGAATAAAATCCAAGAACACAAGAACATAAACAAAAGAACAAACAACCCCAAAACCAACTGAGATAGATAGATAGATAGATAGATAGATAGATAGATAGATAGATAGATAGATAGAAAGATGTGTAAAAACAAGAAATAGGAAAAATAGGATTTAGACAAACCAAACACAGGCCCACAGTTGTTAAAAGAGCCTTTAAAGGAATACCCTCCCTTGGAGCAGTCTGTTCCGGGGCACTATAATATCAACTTTGACAGAGTAATTAAATTGCTTAATAATCAAACCTGGATCTCATTTATATGTCACATGAACATTGTAAAACAGAACGTATGGAAGGCATGCTGTAAAATCAGATGTGGTTTATTTCATATCACAAGTTTGCTGGTAATCAGATAGTTCATATCACAGGAAAAAATGTTAACACCTACCAAAGAGACTTTATACAGCCAGCAGATTTGCTAGCTTGAATGGCTTTCCTACCCTCTCAGTCTTTATTTTTTTTTTTAACTTTTCATCCCACTGAGAACAAGGAAGTTGCTCCAAATCCACATCTCAAGACTTAGGGAGAAGATGGTCCAATTAATGCAGGACCTCCTGTACATAGCTGCAGAAGAAAGCTTTCCAAAGATGGAATGGTTATGCTCAAACCTATACAGAATCTATCATTTTGGCAACAGTTTAAAAGTAGAGATGGGCCTGCTCCAGACATGAACAGCTTTTTTTCTCAGGTGTTTTCAACACCTTGCTTTCCTTCTTATGCTTGTGGCAAATGAACTGAATGTGAAGGGTCTCAACATCACTGCCATAAGAAAGATGCAAAGTTTTGCTATCTATCCTCTGCCTCAGAAGTGCTCCCTTCAAGACATCCACTACACCCATGCAGCCAAATGCAAGTCTACAAACCATCTCCCATTAACAGAAATATTTTTGTTATGAAGCAGCTTTTACTCTCAGCACAGAGGAATGGACCAATGCTCGATTTTCTGCCACAGAAGAATTGATTGCGATAATGTGGCCACATCTCCTGGCAGGAGAGGTTTCAAAGTTTATTTTAGCAACAAGTGGAACACCTCCCACTTAGAAAGTTAGTGTTCCTGCAGCAGGTTGGAAAGAGTTTACAACAGGCTTTGATGCCTTTGCTCAGCCACATTTCCTCTTCCAGGATTTGTTGGGAAGAGGGGGAGGGAGAAAAGAGAATAGGTTCCAAACCCTTTACTATCTCTTCTGAGCTTGTTGTCTTTTGTAAGCCACAAAGAACAGATTTTCTTTTGTAAATCCTTAGTAATTAAATGAGTACTTCACTGGCTATATTCTTCAATGGTCTTGTTTCCTAGGTTTTGCCTTTGACAGTCATATTTTGCAAAGGCTGCTGCGATGACTGGGCACCTTACCCTACTTAAGCCTAAACCAATTGATGCCCGTGCACACTGCATGAAGGAGGAAAAGTTTCATTAATGGCACTTCATTAAAGAACTGTGCTGGAAGGCCCTAAATGTGACCGAACCAACCAAAATCCAGAGCGAGCTGTCTATTAGGAAAGCAACAAAGACAGTTTCGGAAACTGAACTCTGGCTCCACTGCAGCGGATTAGGAAGAGTGATGGGATTAGTGTTTAATGACCTGGGGCAAGAGACAAAGGGAATTTCGACAAAGAGGCTTAGATATGGAAGAATTAACACTCTCTATCCCAGCCATGCCTCTGATGACTTCCAGCATTCTTTCCTGGCTCTGCTGAAGTCTGGGGCGGGGAGGGAAAAAAAAAAACTCCAAACGACTAGTGGGGCTTTAATACCTCCTTATCCTTTTCTTATCACAATTCTTTCTCTTTTTAAAGAAAGAAAAGATCATTTAATTTTTCTTAATGCAATAAGCAAAGTTGCTTAGGGCTCGTGCCTCAGCCGACTGCAGATAATGGCATCCCTAACCACACATTCATTGTGCATGTTACAGACCTCTCTCTTTCTATATATATTTTATACATCCCCATATTTATATATACACGTAAATATACTTATTCAGATAAAGCACATAGTTTTAAAATTACTTAGCACAGAATTTGCCTGCAGTTGCATGGACTTGAGAAATGCTCCTTGATTTGAGGTTACCTTGCATAATAAGAAGCAGGGTGAAACAGGCAAGCATTTGCTCATAGAGTTAATCACAGGCTTTCCCAAAATGACATGATTCAGAGCAGGACATGCATCAATGATTGGTAGAGTCCAGAAGCCTGACTTTGCATACAGAAGGTGTAACTCCATTGAAGGAGCTCTTATGATTAACCTCAGCATAAGGGGCAGAGAATGCAGAATAAGCAGGAATTGTTTAGCAGGGAAAATCTCTTGAAGCTAAAAACAATTAATTAAAACAGCTCAGTAACGAAGCTGATACTCCTCAACTATGACACTGAGACATTAACATATTTGAGCCCTGAGCAGCACTCCAGTCTCTGACCCTTTGGGCACTAATGTCAAGGAGACACTGCTTAAATAAATACACTGCAAGCACCAAACACCCATGAGGAATGAGCTTAGGGGGACCTCTCCTGAGAAGTAATGCACTCCTGCTTTGTCCAGCAGCCTTCCCAGCCCCTGAGCCAAGGCAAGCACCTGCACTTCTCTGAACCAGGGCCCTTTATAGCTGCTGGTTTGTGTTTCACAGAGGGAGAACCATCCTACAACTGTGCACAGTTTTCCTGCGCTGTAAATCAACTCAACATGTAGTTGTTGTTTTTTTTTTTTTTAATTTAATTTTTTTCCTAAACCAACCCAAAGTGCTCGCAGAAAAGCTAGGTATTCATTTCACATGTTAGCCAATATGAAATGCTCCCAGAGCAGCTTTAGACTCCAAGGTATTATTTAACCAGTGTGGTTTAGTAGGACAATGGCAGCCCCCTGCCGTAATCCATTCAGGGGCAATACCATCAGTCAGTGTGAAATTAAATACATTACAGGGTAAGAGCTTAATGCGTTTTATAGGCAGTTGTTCATCCACATCAAACTTTAGCTTTTAAAATCCTAACATTTGATCCCACAACAGGAACCATGGCTCGAGAATGAGATTGGCACATTTGCACTGCCAGCAGGGCAGGAAAAGCAGAGCATAGTATTTAGTGGGAAATGCAATTGCCTGAGAGGGGAAAATGCTCAGATCGAGAGAGCTCTGCAGAGCCACTTAGCTTCTAGCACATGCACAGGACTGGAAAGAATAAATACAAACCCAGCTCTCTCTGGCTGTGGGTCATTAGAATCAGTATTTCCTACCACTGTAAGTGGGTTTCACTTATATAATAACAACAACAATAAAAACTACAAGAGGGTTGTATTTTTGAATCATCCATACAGATTTTAGTTCTGAAAAAATACCCAGGTATGGAAAGATGGTAAATATAAACTCAGGGCTGGATGTCTATGGGTTATTAGAACCAGTGTTTCCTACCATGGTGCATGTTGGTTTCACTTATATACCTATACATATTATAAAAATAATAATAGGGGCTTTTTTTAATTCCTGCATACAAGTTTAGGTTCTATAAACTGTTCTAAGTAAAATCCTTAAGTCCCCAAGGATTTTGGTGAGACTGCTTGCTTAGACAGGGGGGTATTCCCACACTGGAGCCCACAGGCTCGTGGCTTTCTGCTGGCTAAGTGCTCTCCCTTGACCCAGCTGCCAGGTCTTGCATGGGAGTTGTGTCCATCCATGCTCTCAAACCCAGATGCTCTGGCTTCCCCTTGCCACAGAAACATCCTAACCTGTGAAAATAGTTGGCAGGAGAGAGGTACAGAAAACACCAAACAGAGGGGCCTGTTATATTCTTCTCTGGGTTACACTTGCTTAATGCAGGAGTAAATTCTATTTGTTTCAGCCGAGTTACTCCGGATATAAATAGGGGTAAGTGAGATCAGAGCTAGGTCCTTGGAGAGCCCTCTGCCTTCTGTGATGCTGCCTCCTAAAATGAAGCACTGATAAGACCAAGTGGTAAAAAAATTATTATTTAAAATATCTTCAGAGCTATCTGTTGCCCAAAATGGCTTTTAACTGTTGAAAGAACATCAAACATTTAAAAATGCATAATCTGCTCTCTGTAGTGGCACACAGCGCCAGGAATATTCGTCAGCCTTATGTTTTTGGATCATATGTCACAGAGGATTATCTGACACTCCATGAACATCGCCTGCTTCCTCCAGTTGCAGCTACAAAACTTGTTCTCAGGCATGTCACTGGATGCTACAAGCACCATGAAGTGGACTCTGCCCTCACAGAAAGGTTATTTATTGTATCTCCCTAGCCTATAAGCAAAACCACCCCTTACATCCTGATAACGCCTTCCCCCTCTGAGCAGAAAGACTCAAGAGCAACTTTGATGAGTTTTCCTCAGTGATGAGCATTTGGATCAGTCTTTAAAATGTTCCAGGGCTCCAGATGCTGTTGACCCAGTGGTGTGAGCTGAGAGTCATAAGCTCCACACCTAAAGAAATGCTTTATTGCCCAGGCTGAGTGCGTGGGGAACTCTTCAGGCTCCGAGGGGGTCAGTGAATCCAGTGGCAAGCACTGCAGCTGACTGAAGACGATGGAGGAAGGGGGGAAAAAAAAACCCCAAGGATTCAGGGATATTGAAAGAAGAATTGGATTTATTTGCAGACCCATGTTGTCTAGTTAAATGTTGACAAGGAAGAGAAGTCTTGGGTCCTCCTTTGCGAAACATTTCATCCCTTTCAGAAATATTTTAATTCACAAGAAAAAAGTCCTATTTCTTTTTAGTATGCCCTCCTGATGCCAAGATTAGTATTTTAGGATATACTTTGGTCTCTTATCTTTCCTTTTGATTGTGCATGATGTGCTTTCCTAGGAATCATGTGGAAGAGCCAAGAGGAAGAAAACCTCTCTGCCACAGCCACCTGCCCCTTTTCCTGCATGATTCCTCCTCTCTTTCCACTCTTTCCTGCCCTTCACTCTGCACACTCATTAAACCACCTAAGGCTCAGTCCATTCCCAGCCTCAAAGCTCTGGAGGCATGAGAAACTCACATATCCTGTATATTCTGCCTGAAGACACCCTGCTTCTCTGACACCCAACAGCAATTTCCACACGTGCCTTGTGTTCCTTGTCAAGGCATGGGTCAGCCCAGATCCAAAGGTGTGGGAGTCCAGGGCATCCCTCTGGCTGCCCTGGCAGGTCTGGGACCCTGGCAGGGGTCAGGAACCCCCCTGGACAGAGTCCCCAGAGGCACTGGCTGTGATCTCTGTCCATGGAAAAGTTTTCAGTCTTACAGGATGAATTACAAGCTCTGAGTGTTTGATATCAGTAATAATTAACTGTGGCACAAATGCAAAAGTAAAATTTTAGGATTCTAGATAAGGGGTTCAGAGGGAACAAGATGGAGGAAATTGGGTGTGCCTTGTCCTTTTTCTCCTTCTTCATGCCCTCCATGTTTCACTGTGGTGTTGGCATTTTTCTGTTGGTTTAGGCTGGGGACACACTGTCCAACGTAGGTGACAGATATTGGCACGTTATTGTAAATCCAGCACAGGTAGTTTGTGGTATTTAATGTTTGTACCATCCCACTGAGGGCAGAGCCCCACACGCTGCCCTGCAGGACAGAGCTGCGGCAGGGCAGCAGAACATGTTAGAGATAAACAGAATAAACAACCTTGAAACCAGCACAGACCAATTATGGCTTCTGCTTTGGCAGCGGGGCAGAAAGACAGAGACTTTCTACAATCTTAGAATCATCAATACCCACAGATTACGACCCAAAGGTTTTGAATTTCCTTCATTTCCTTCTCCCCATCTCCTTTCCTGAACTGGAAAATTGCCAGATTAAACGTCCCCAAGTGCCTCTAGTTGCCCTTGCTTACATCGTGTTCTATGTGCACGTTCTCAAAGATGATGCCACACAACTCCCCCAAACTTATTTGATAACAAAACTTTCAAATATGGAAGATACCTACTGAGGAAAAAAAAAAAAAGAGCTATCAAATATTAATTGTCAGTTTTATCTCCGGCTCTAACACACTTTTGTCTGTAATATCTGAAATACCTGATCATCCAGCAGAATTTCTAATGCAAGAGAAACCTAAAAGTGCCAGTGAAAGCTGGGGCTTTCTCCAGCTGCAGGTTCCAACACTGAGAAATTCCTGGGAGGAGGGAAATGGCCTCAGGCTCTCACACCAGTTCTCCCACCTCCCACCCCAAATTGCCATCCCACTCTTAACTTTGCCCCCTCAGCATTTCTGGGTGGGTCCTGAAAACACACACATACTTCTTTGCCACTCCTTGTCTCAGCTGTAACCTGTGGTTGTCTCGCCCCAACCATGACCTCACCCCAACACACAGGTGCACCTCGGGGTTTTTTTGGGAAAAAACCTATATTTCTCACAAAACAGGTGCCTGTGCCTGCAGAAAGGTAAGTGGAAAAGTACAATGGAGTGTTCTGGGGTTTTCCAGACCCAACACCATTATTTGTCCTCCACAGCTTTATTTGTTGATATCCTGACAGCAATTTTCCATGAATGGGACTACTCAGAGCTCTTCAGTAGCTGCTTTCAAGCTGTCAGAAAGGAAGTCCTCTCCAATCCCAAGCCAGCCTCATGCCCAGTAAGTTTCAGTACTTTTGGGTTTGGATGGAAACCTCAAAGCATAATTCAGAGTCAGAAACAAGAAGACAAAACAAACCAAACATTTTTATCACTATGATGCTGGGGGCTGAGGCTCCTGATTTTAGACTCTGACACATAATATACCTTACAAACACTTTACCCTGGGACTGTGTCAGCAGCACAAGGCCTGGCTTGGTGTAGAGGGGACCAGACCCATGTCTGTTAAGTAAAGAAATAACAAAATTTTTCTGGCTTTCCAGTGGTGAAACTGAGAAGGTGATGCAGCCCTGAATTAAACCTGGCAAAAATCCACAAAGCTTGGTTTTCTCAGACAGAGAGAACAGAAGTGCTGACATGAACACACCTCTATGTGCTTTGCCTCCTTAAAAAAACCAAACCAAACCAAAACATCAACAATGAAAACAAACAAACAAAAAAACAAACAAAAAACCCAACAAAACCAACCTAACAAAAGAGAGAAAAATCCTTTGTGGCTTCTCCATCAACAAGTAGTAGTAGAAAGCTGATCTGCTTTCAAGATGCTTCTGGCCAAATTTTTTGTATCTTCTTAAACCTGGAAATCCAAGCTATGGGTCTTAACTATTTTCTATCCAGAAAAAAAACTCACACCTGTGAAATTTCTTCTGTCCTTCACTGTTCTCAAGCCAAAGAATTATGTGATTTCACCAAGCTGAAACAACTTTCATAACCTGTCTCCATGACTGTCCTGTTTGGATATATTCTTTACACTAGGCTGCTTTCAAAAAAGGGGTAACATACCAGTAGGCCAATACATTGGACTGCTAAAATAAATAGATAATTTAAAAACAAAGGTGGGAGATTTTTGTATATAAGAACCATAAAAATACATCATTCTGTAAAAAGAAAAACTGAAGTTCTATCCACCACTTCTGCAAACACAGCAGTTTCAATGTGTAAATATCTTCAGCTTTCCTACAGTCCCCAGAGGAAAAATATTATTCTCTGGGGCAGACAGAAAGATCCAAGGCCAAATAAATGATGCTAAAGCCTCTTAACCAAAAAAAAAAAAAAAAAAAAAAAAAGAGCTCTGTCTTTCCTTTATGGAGCCCTTTGAAAGCTCCAGCTACATTTAAACATCTCCTCCTCATCCCCTCCATGTTTCTCCCACTTATTCCAGCTAACAGATGCTCAATCTCCCAGCAGCTGGCTGAAATGCCAAACAAGGTTCCCTCTTCCTAGAAATGCTTATCTGCTGAGAACAAAGCAGCATCTTGTCAGGCACATGTAGCAATGGCTTGGGGTGCTCTCCTAAGCAAGGAGTCACCAAATACCAGTGGCTCTCTTGGTTCTGGGCATTACCCCGTGTTAGTTTATTTGTCTTTCCCCACCATAAAATGTTTGTTGGCAAGACTGAGCACCTACACTCACATGGAAGGCAGACTCGTACACCACGAGGAAGGTTTTTCCCCCCACTCCCCTTTATAAATTGCTGTCTTTGATCCATTTTTCATATGTTTCCCCACGCAAGTGCACAAAGACAAATATTCATTGTAATATTTATGAGGCCAGCCTGATAGTTACTATGGTTTCAAAGAAAACAGGAAAAATGGGCACAAAACTGGATGCACTTCACGTCAGGCAGCCATAGGTATGGCACGTGTTATAAATTCTGCTCAAACTGACTCACTTCTTTCGATGAGGTAAGTGTTGACATTAGACAATTTGGTGGGGAGCATTTATTTCTGCATTTATTAAAATGTCAGTAACAGCAGGAGTAACACCTCCTAAAAGGCTTGCAGGTGCTTGTCTTCAAAAATGCAACATTTGAAGAGGATGAAAAGGCACAAACTCTGTTTAAAATGATTCACCAGTGGCTGGAAGAGAATAGATATATTTGGGTGTTTAATTAATGCATGCGATGAATAATTGACATTGCTCAAATCCAGGGGACTGCCCAAGCTGCTAAATTCCAGCATGTCCAAAATGCTCTGGAGAATCAAAGCAGAAAAGAAGGATTTGTGCAGATCTCAGTGTTGCCAAAACAAAACAATTTATTCAAGGGACATGCTTTCAACATACCCAAATGCAGGTGAGCATTACCTCCAAAATGTGAAGTACTCAAGTAAACAGGAGGGGGATGAAAAACATATCAGTAAAAATGCATTTGATATATAAAAATAACTCTGCAGAGTCAGGCATTAAGCAGTGGATGCAATGTCTAGTGGCTACAGATGAAGCCTTGGGCTCAGGCTGGTACCACAGCAAGATTTTTTCATTCTGTCACTCTGAAAACCTTTCAGGAGGCTACATGCAACCCCCTTTGCTCAGTTCTCCAAAGAAATTGGTAAGGCCGGAATAAGACGTTGGCTTGTTCACATCAGAAGGAAATATAAACTGAGGTCAAGGAAACCACAACATCTGGAACGTGAGAAAAGGATTTACTGTTAAGGGCTTAATGAACTCTGAAAATAAAGTTCTCAACTTTGCTAATTTGTTTGGGCTTCGAAGAGGAATAAAACATAAAGCTGGAAGAAGGTTTTATGGCTCTCCCAAAGAAATAAGAACTACATCTGTGCTAAAATTAGCAAAACCCAATGACAGTACGGAGTGTGTCACTATTACTTAGCCAATGCTAGGAAAAAAGGCTACATTGTAACTGCTGGCTGTTTATGTGCAAATTATTGTGGGAAAAGAGGAATTATGGACTTTTAGATTTTGCAGCTGTGGGAAAGACAGTATTCCCAAGCTGGTTGGGGGTGGGGCTGGGTGGGGATATGCAGGTTCTTGCAGGTAATAAGGATGTGGCTAATGCAAATCACTCAGCGTTGGACGGATGGAAGGATGCATCTGTCCTCTCATTTTAGTTTGAATTAGGAATGTGTCCGACTATAGCACTTTGATTTAAACCATGAGCAGTTTTCATGGTGTGCAAAGCAGAGACCCATTCAGATGAAACGAAAGCTGGAAGATATACATTTAATGTGTTCCAGGCACTACACAGGCACTCAGTCCATGGGAACCAGATGAGAGCTAATCCCAGGGAAACCCTTCGACAGCGCATGCACGGGGAAGGTGGCAGATCCTCAGCACTGGCTGTCTTGCTCTATATATTCATCGTGATTTTGCTGCCCCTGTGCTAAAGCAAACTGTAGCAAAGCACAGCCATTTGAGAAGCTGGCCTCATCCATTTCTTGGGCTATTTCTATGGAGCATCTCATACTCCAGGCATAAGTTCTTTCCTTCATTCCCTCAAAGAGCAGCATTTAGTCCCCCCACTGAAGCCAGGGACAAGAAGCTGGGTGAGGACATGGGTGCAGATTGTTCCCAGGGAACTTTTACTGCAGTGATGTGCCCAACAAACAAGAAGTAAAAAAACCCTTTTGAGATTTTACAGCTCACTCCCACGGAGTAGCAACTGCGCTTGTCTCGCAACTGTCAACATGAAGAGCAAAATCTTCTCTTGCAAAAACTCCACAGATTTGATCCCAAGTCTCCTCACTGTGCTAATCAGATCTAATTCCAGTGTTTGACCCCCAGGAACAGGATCTAATTAGGACTGACACATGCTTCCCTACTTGTAGCAAGGGGC